GCGTAGATTTAGTGGCATTTCCCCTGTAAGGGCCTGAAGTGAGGTGTAGGAGGTGCCATGTTGGGTGCGTGTAATTAGTTTAAGGGCTTGGTATTGTATTGAGTCACTTTTTTTAGTTAGAGAGTTGTTTAGGGTATTGTATATGGCACAGCCGTAGTCTAGTTTTGATCTAATTAGTGCTGTATAGAGTGAGAGGAGGGTATCTTTGGAGGCTCCCCAGTTAGAGCCGGTGAGACATCTTAGTGTGTTAAGGTCTTTGCTGCATCTAGTTTTTAGGTTCTGGATGTGAGCCTCCCAGGTGAGGTGTTGATCGAAAATGAGTCCTAAGAATTTGGTTTGTTTTTGGAATTTGATTGTTTGGTTGTTAAGCTGGAGGATTGGGTAGGCAGGTTTCACGTTTTTATGTTTGAATACTACTGTTGTTTTATCTGAGTTAAGGGAGAAGCCCCATTTGTCTGCCCATTGTTGTATTTTATTTAGAGATTTTTGGATTCAGTTTTCTGCCATTTTAATGCTTTTAGTGCGGATCCATAGGGGTCCCTCATCCGCGAATTTTGAAGTGTTTAGTTTAGGGGATAAGCCCTCGAATAGATCGTTTATCATTATATTGAAGAGGGTTGGGCTGAGGATGCTGCCCTGGGGAGTGCCATTTTCTAGGGGACACTGGTCCGATAGCGTATGGTCTATACCCACGGTTATTTTGCGATTGTTTAGGAAATCTTGGATGAAGTTTATAATTTGGCCTTTTAGTCCTATTTTTTTTAGTTTTTGTATTAGCCCGTGGTGCTATACCATGTCGAAAACTTTAGAGAAGTCGAGGAATATGCCTATGGTGTATTGCTTGTTTAGTTGTCCTGTTTTTATATCCTGTTCTAGTCGGGCGAGGTTATCGAGAGTTGATCGGCCAGGAGTGAAGCCGCTTTGGTCCGGGTTTATGATGTTGTTTTGGTCTAGGTAGTGCTGTAGCCTATTTTTAGTCATAAGTTCCATTATTTTGCAGAGATTTGAGGTTAGGGAGATGGGCCTATAGGAGTTTGCCTGATCTGCTGGTTTATTTGGTTTAGGTATTGGGATTACTGGAGCTTCCTTCCATGAGGATGGGACCTGTCCGTTTAGGTAGACTAGGTTGTATAGTTTAAGTAAAGTTTGGAGTAGTTTGGTAGGTAAGTGTTTGATTATTTGGTAAGAGGTGAGGTCTAGGCAAGGGGCTGTTCCTTTTTTTCTATTGTTTAGTACGTGATTTAGTTCTTCTATGGTGTAAGGTTGGTTTATTTCTAGGTCGTCTTGTCTGTTTTCTTTGGAGAATTTGGTTTCTGTTTTTAGTTTATCTTGGAATTTCTTACTGAAGTTACGCGTGAATTTTGCGCCACACCTTCCAAGCGTCGGTGTGGTGGTTTAGCTCCTCACAGAATTCTTTCCAGTTTTGGGTTTTAGCAGTTTTAACTAGGTTTTGGACTTGGTGGTAAAGTTCATGGGCTGTTTTGAGATGAGAGGGGTCTCGTTTAGCTCTGTTGAAAGCTGATTTGCGTTTTAGTCTAGTTAGCTCTATTTCCTCATTCCACCAAGGGACAGTGGGTTTTCCTGGGTTGGATGATTTGAAGGGGATTGCGGATTTGGCTGCGTTGATTATGAAGTTAGTTAGGTTTTGACAGAATGTTTCGGGGTCTTTTGTTTCTAAATCGTTAAGATTAGCTTGGTTGCATAATTCTTGGAATTTGTCCCAGTTGGCGTTTTTGTACTGAAATTTAGGTTCCTGTTTAGGGGTTTGATTTGATATTTTCAGATTTCCTAGGGTTATATTTATGGGGAAGTGGTCGCTGCCTAGAGGTACTGGGTGGACGTCCCACATCAGACTTTGTGCTAAGTCTGGCGTACATATTGTTAAAGGGGCACTGATCTAACTGGTTGTTGCCTTTGTTATTGTTTTTTCCCAGTGAGTACCCGGATGTATAGCAGAAATCTAGACTAGTTCGCGACCTCTGCTGCGCGATTCGTAAGCGCATCAGTCACTTTTATGGGTAGGAATAAGGGCGTATGGTCACATTGATCAACAAAATGAAATACAGTTTTCGAGATAATAAGGAAATGTAGGTATATTTGTGGGTAGCATCGGTAATGGTGACGAAGTTTTGATAAGTCACTTGCTTGGTAATTTTGCAATTTTCGTTTACACTATTTTGACTTGCAACACAAAGAAAATATTTCACCTGGGCATTGCTTTTTTATAGTGTGTATATTTTTTTTACTCTCAAAATGTGTAACATTTTCAAATTTATTAAAAGTGACTAAAAAACATTTCCATTTGTGTTATTATGTTAACGAATTCCAATTTTTTTATGTTTAATGTCACTGGTGGTACAGGAGGTAGCGGTTCACCGCCTAGGTCGGATGGTATGAAAGAGTGGATAAAAAAGCATTTAAAAGCGTTAGGTTCAGCACTGGGAAAGCTCGCTGGGAAAGCCGCGTCTGCACTTCCCGGTATAATAGGGAGTATAGTTTCCTGGCTCTTGAATTTATTAGCTAAGACCAAAACTTGTGGGCACTGATAGTAGCAATTGCAGGGCTGTTGTACATATCCGCTAAAGACTATTTAACCAAATCATGAGTAAACCGGCCGCGACTCCACCTACTACAAGCGCTGTTTTTTCATCGATATGTTGTTGATTTTTAACCGCAATATGCGGTGGCACTTGTTGTTGTGTGTTAGTAGATGGTTGAGCAGATATTTGTGGCTTGACTATTCCCGTTTCGCCTGTTTGTTTGCGTTATTAATTCGGTGTTAATATCTGAATTTATACCTGGTTTTTGTTGATCGGAAGCAATAACAATTTTATTATTATAGCCTATCACTTGACCGATCTTAAGTTCCATATTACTCGGAGACATGTATGGTCCCGGCGCATAAACGTAGTCTACCTTGGATTGAGCGTACTGTAATACATCTTGATAACGCTTTATAGATGATGGTATGTCAACTGGTGAATTTATAGCATCCTCCACGTTTGCGATAAACTGTTTTTGTGCATCGAGCACAATAATTTCTGTATTAGATGTAAAACACCAACCTGTACATATAAGAAACTTAAGTGTAACACTCCATATTATAAAAAATGGTTGATTCATCAGGCCCTGGAACACTCAGACAATGTAATACAATTGCGCTTTCCGATCCTGGAGACACAGAAGGATTCGGTAGACCCGGTACCGATGGTAAGTTATACGCTTTACACTGACAAGATAATGTATACAAGCGGAAAGAAGTTACATTCACGGGTAATCTAGGAGATTTAAGCGATGTCGACGTTGTTAGTAGACTCCTTAAACAAAACACTTCGTACAATCTTACTCACAACAATGATGGTCACTGTCAGATGCCATGAACCAGGTCACCGAGCCTGATCACCCGATCTATTAAGTTATCTCTTATGGGTGAGGCTAAAACGGCACCTCAGCAAAATGTCACTGATTTCTCGGACAAAAACAGCACCTTGTTTTGGCAAAAGGGCTACTAATTGTTGTCTGTTATCTGGAGAGACATTCTCGTGATGTTGGTTCCTGGCAGAAAGGGGAGATATATAAATGAATTATACTATTTATTTCCTACTTACTAAAATAAATATGAAATATATAGTATACCTGTAGTCCAGTTTCTTGACATTTTCGCCAGACTCAGTTTCAGCTTGACATTGAGCTAAACTTCAACAAAGCATGTTCAAAGCATGTGATCTTTCAATGATAAGTTTAGTTGCACCTCCCAATCAGAATCATGAGTAAATTTGAGTAGAGGCTAATTTCTAATATAAACTGTTTTTAGGTGATTAACATTTCACAATTATTCACAATAAGTTTAGTTGCATCTCCAAATCAGAGTAGGCGAGTAGATGCTAGTTTCTAATGTAATTCTTTTTGAACATTTCTCAGTTATTTGTGTTTACAAGTGACCATGCAAGTTTAATTTCATCTATTCGGGCTTATTCAGACCCAAGGTAAAATAAATTACAAGGTGCTCTTACAACTAGCATAGGTTGATGGGGACCAATTCCAACCCGGAATCCCCACATGAGTGGGTATGGTTTTACGCTGTTTTTAGCAATACCACAGCAAGGGACACCTGACATGGACTTCACACATTGTACCCATGACAAGAATCGAACCTTGGTCTTCAGCACTTCAACCACTAGTCTACCCCACCGCCAAAATTCCCAACATGATAAAGTTGTCATCATGGTATTCTTCAACAAGTGCAAGTGAAAATATCCATACCTTTCAAATGTCTTATCTTCCACTTCACTATGTTCACTGTTGCAAAACTTCTGTCATTTAATTTGTTCTTGATTCTTCACACCTGCAAAAGTAAGTTTAGTCTATTAACCATTCTCACAGATTGGTGAGTACCACAGATTTATTTGTCGGTACGGTATGAACTAAGAAATGAAATAAGAATGAGTCACATTAGAGTATCTAGTTAAAGGAATATAAGTAGGCAAACATATTTCTACATTATATACATTAGCAAGGATTAACATAAGTTAGGTAGATTGCTTATCCTACAAAAAATAAATCACATATTTACTAACATATATAAAACTGAATAAGTGGCTTACAGAAGATAAATAACTTTAATACGTCATCAATATTATTCACATATTCCTTACCTGAATCAGAGACCATATAACAGTCTATGTAATATGGTCTCTGTCTGAATATGTCACGTCTTCAGCTCCCTGCAATCGCCAATTTTGACGAGGTTGTGAAACATTTCTGCTGTAGGAATATTACGTCCGCTGGGATTTCCCTTGTCCCACTGCCTTATCTTGGCATGGTAGGCAAACACATATTCCATACACGACGTAGGTATACTTCCTAATACACACTGTCGAAATCCCCGCGGCTCCCAATATGGCCTGTATAAACTGTAATCGGCCAATTTCGTCTCTTTCCGTAACGGCTGCAGAAATGACCGCTCGTCATTCGTGACCAACTCGTGTTATTCCGGCTTCGAGACATAATGTTCCATGATTTCTATACAGAGATCTTATGGAATGGATTGATTTAGATATTTTCCTGATCTCCATGTAACTACTGTAAACGTCAAGGAAACCTTTTGTTATTATTATGATCAAGTGTTTGTTGTGACATGGGATTTGGTCTTGCATAAGAGCTACAGGTGTAGGACTTTTACGGGTCGTATCCTTATTCTCAACATAACGCTGGGATTTGATGATAAGGGTTAGTTACAAAGGGTATAGATCTGGCAAAGTGCATGTCATACAAAACGAGGCATTCAATTCCAATCATGTGTTGCCACCGGGTGCAGGCTAAAACGGCACCTCAGCAAAACGTCATCGATTTCTCTGGTGAAAACGGCACCGCATTTGGCGAAAACGGCTATGAGTCGGGCGAAAACGGCACCTCTATTTTTAATAACGATAACAACGATTTTTGTAGTAATGTATATGGTTTATTTACATGGTATTTGATTAGTGATGTATTTACATTGTATTTCCTCTTTTCAGAGATAAGTAAATATAGGGTTTATATTTTACATGGTATTTGATTAGTGATGTATTTACATTGTATTTCCTCTTTTCAGAGATAAGTAAATATAGGGTTTATTTACATGGTATTTGATTAGTGATGTATTTACATTGTATTTCCTCTTTTCAGAGATAAGTAAACATGTTCATATATATATTCAAATGTATCTTCGCCATATGTCGAAGATCTCCTCTTGACGAGATGTGGAAGATTTGCGAATTTGCCTGTTTGGCCTCTTAAATACAGTTTCAGCTTAAATTGAGTAAAGGTACTTAAAACTTCAAAGCGTATAGTGTTTTCACAATAAGTTAACTGCGCCTCCTAATCAGAGTCAGTGAGTAAATTGGAGTAGGCGGCTAATTTCTTATTTGTTTTATTTCACAATTATTCAATGTGAGCCTATTATTTTTCTTCAAAGCATGTTATGTTTTCACAATAAGTTGAGTTGCATATAAGCTAAGTTGGATTATAGTTGGAGTAGAGGCTAATTTCTAATGTAAACTTGTTTTAACATCTCACAATTATTGGCGTTTGCAAGTTACAATGTAAGTTTAATATCATTTATTTGACCAAGGCAAAAAAATAAAAATAAGGTGCAGTTTTCGTTCGAGTCGAGGTGCCGTTTTCGCCAATAGGTGCCGTTTTCGCCCGGTGACGTTTTGCTGAGGTGCCGTTTTCGCTATAACCCTTGCCACCTGACCCACCTGAAAGTGAGATATGGATTACAATGAATAATGACAGCTTATCAATCTTTAACAAATTCACACTGAAACATTGAAAGAATAAAGACAAGTTAGTTGTTTTCTGTTTCAGCATGTTCAGGGTTTGTGGGGAGGTTCACAGACATCCTCAGGGAGGATACGAAGTATTGAGTGAGTATTTGTGTGTGTGATAATTACAAACTACATGTATTCATAATGGTATATTTCAATGCAATGTGAAACATCACACTCACAATAGTCCAGCTCTGTGATGGCGGCCTGTAAATAATTGAACATGGACCAGGCAATCTAGTGATTGTTATTATCAGCAAAGATCCATGCCCTCAGAGTATGATGACAACCTAGTCTGACCACCCAATTCATTAGTTGATTAGTGTTTGCAGCGGTAGAAACTAACAGTTTCAGTCCACTATTCCTTATAATGATAGCCCATAGCAAAACCTTTAAAATGTCAAATTTCTACTTGTCCTTAGGATACCTTTACTTTTGGGCAGTTTGGCAAGGACTATAGGACTAGTGCCAATTTCTAACCCTGGTGTTTGGATGTTGTGTTTGTGTGTGTGTGTATGAGTGTATTTAACTTAAATCATGAATCTTATACTTGTTTTTCTGTGCTTTTACAATGTAACCCAAATTTCCTTGGGAATAATAAAGTATTATCGTATTCATATCATTTCTGAACAAAGTGTCATATCAAGGTTAGATCTCTGTCAAAACAGTGCCATGGAAAAGCCAAACAAATAGCCTAGAAATAAAAGTAAATACTGCATTGCATTAATCTGCATTTCAAGAAAATTTAGCAATAATTCATGGAATGATATTGACCTCGGTGATGATCTTTCTGCATTGTCGAACAAGTTATGTAATGTATGTGTTGAATGACCCTGACTTTGTTGTCAAAATATTGTTTTGACATTTGTTAAATATGGGGATAAATGTCATCTCTGAATGTTTGACATGAATTATTATGATTAGGGTAGTTCTAAGTCGGAATCACAACTGGGGTCTTTTCATTTGAATCAAATGTACAACATGTACAGTTTGGACATTTCTGTGATGTGAATGCTACTTATGTTTGCAGAATGTCCGGATGAATAAAAGAGACAGTCATCTGTGCAGCATCAATGCAAAGAAAGACCATAGAAGAGCAACAGTGAGTGGTAAATATTTTGAAATTACTCTGTTTGGTTCATATGGTTATTTTGCAAATATTTCTTCAGTTTGTTCCTGATCGCTGTGGGGACGGATGTCCTATTATCTAAGGCACTACAATTTTCTGTGCAGAGTTGCATCTCTTGGGCTTAGCAGAAACCTCTAGTCATGGGTTCAAATCCTGGTTCTCCCCGATTATGTTGCTAGGTTTGTCAGCGTTATACACATACTCGTGGGATTCATCAAAGACCTGCATCACTTATGGCTTTCTTCCAACATCAAGCTAAGAGGCGGTGATTTATCTGGAATACTGTTCAAAGCAGTGTTAAATCCAACTCATTTATTTAACACCGCATCCAGCAATAGTTTGGCTATATGACAAGTATTGTAAATATATATTTTTCCATGTTGATGAGTTGAAACAATCACTAAATGACATCTCTTAAAGCTTGCCATACAAGCCTAATTAATAAATCAGGTAGTGATCGAGTAGGCTCATTGATCGCATGTAATCATACCACAATGATGTGGGATATTGTCCATAACAGTTATCATCGGTTTGTCTGGACCGAGTTCATAACATTAATCACTGGTTTGACTGGTTGATATGTGATTATCTTAAATGTTTGGCATATAACAAGACTCACATATGATAACTTAAGTGATTTTGCTGCCTTCTATCTGTAAGTACATGTGGCAACAATTCTTTTTGATTGCTAAAATCTTTGTACATAATGCTGCAGAAACTGAAGTCCTGCTTGAGATCCCTGGATGAGTACTCCAGGTTGACAGTCTGGAAGGACCAGACAAGGGAGTCCTTAACAGAGAGTGCACCCCTTCAGATATCAGAGGTGTTTGCAGACAGCGATGACGAGGGTCCTGTTATTTCAATGGAGGCCAACCGAGAAGTTGTATGCCAAATGGTATTTGGACACAAAAAGGCTGGTCTGGCTAATGTGAGAAGACCAACCAATGCCAAGCTTGAGTTGGATCCTTCCAGAACTTTCAAGAAATTCTTGTCTTGAGCCATGTGGTAAACACTTGAAAGGAATGATAAATGGGACTTATTGCTTTAAATGAGGACCCAAACACCAAATGGAAAGTTCACAATTCTACTAACACAATACAGCAGAGATAGAGTCTAACTGGTATCCCCTCATCCTGGTTCCTGTTCATCCATGGCAATATAGAAAGAAAAGGAGGATTGAGGGAAAGTAAGTTCTCTGAACTGGTGAACATAATCCGTAGGTACTGTAGAGCGAACAGTTATCACACTCTGTTATGAGTATTGAAGAATAGGATGAAATTGCATACTGCATCAGGAACCATCATGTGAACACTGTTCAATGTGCGATATACTATAGGCATATGAATAAAAGAAATTGATAATTTGATTGTTGCTTATGTTTCATTTGCCAGCTGTGTAAATGGGGATGTTTCATGATTTTGGCTCAGTTTAATAGCCACACTTATCTTATGAAACCATGCATTGCTTGGGCATCTCAGGAATAAATAACACATGTTTCCTTAGCTCTGAGAACGTCTGATGACCCATTGTTCTGTTGTGTCAAAGGTCAAAGTCACAACCAGACAAAAAGTTTGTTTGTGGTCTAACTCTTCCTTTGGGCAGGGGTTGAAGTTGGAAAAGGGTCGTGCGTGACCTATATATATAATAAAAGAATTCACAGTAACTTTGGAAGAGCTCACCAAAGGCCCAAGTGAGCACATTATCAATGACTTTTTCTTTTTCTCAGTACAAACTGGAAGTCTGGACATGAAATTTAAGGATATCATTATACGAGAACTGATGTTTGTTCATTTATTACCATTAACATCTGAAAAGAACAATTGTCTTCTCCAAAAATGTTTTAGGAGGATATTTATCATTAAAGTAACACAGAATATTACAACAGCTATCTGTAACGCACAGGCTAACATTATTTTCCAGAAACAAGACATGAAGAAAATTTGCATCTGGATACCCTCCGAAAACCTTCCAGATGCCTTCAGCAACCTTCAAATTTCTTGGTATTTTCAAGATAATTTTTTTATGTGTTTCACACTTAAGTGAACAAAATGCACCCCCCAAATTTTGACATTTTATTTTGAAGGTTTCCAGAAGATTTCCGGAAAGTATCCGGGCCAGATCCAAAATGGGAAGGTATCCGGAAGACGAAAACCTACACTTTTTTTGCTGTGTTATGGGGAGTGGTTGGCCAGTAATGGGTAGTGGTGAGTCAGTCATGGGGAGTGATGCGTCAGTGATGGGAAGTGGTGGGTCAGTGATGGGGAGTGGTGGGTCAGTGATGGGGAGCGGTGGGTCAGTCATGGGGATTGGTGGGTCAGTCATGGGGAGCGGTGGGTCAGTGATGAGGAGTGTTGGGTCAGTGATTGGGAATAGTGGGCCAGTGATTGGAGTGATAGGTCAGTGATGACGAGTGGTGAGTCAGTCATGGGGGTTGGTTGGTCAGTCATGCGGAGTGGTTGGTCAGTTATGGGGGGCGGTGGGCTAGTTATGGGGAGTGGTTGGCTAGTAATGGGGAGCGGTGAGTCAGTCATGAGGAGTGATGCGTCAGTGATGGGAAGTGGTGGGTCAGTGATGGGGAGCGATGGGGAGTGGTGGGTCAGTTATGTGGAGTGGTGGGTCAGTGATGGGGAGTGGTGCATCAATGATGGAGTGTGTTGCATCTGTGATAGGAAGTGGTGGGTCAGTGATGGGGAGCGGTGGGTCAGTATTGGGGAGCGGTGGGCCAGTGATGGGGAGTGGTGGGTCAGTCATGGGAGTGGTGGGTCAGTGATAGAGAGTTGTGGGTCAGTAAAGGGGAGCGGTGGGTTCGTGATGAGGAGTGGTGGGTCAGTGGTGGGTTAGTGTTTCGGACTGATAGGACAATTATGGGGTGTGGTTGGTCAATGATGAGCAGTGGTGAGTCAATCATGGGGAGTGGTGGGTCAGTGATGGGGAGTGGTAAGTCAGTGATGGGGAGTGGTGGGTCAGTGATGAGGAGTGTTGGGTCAGTCATGGGGAGTGGTGAGTCAGTGATGAGGAGTGGTGAGTCAGTCATGGGGAGTGGTGGGTCAGTGATGAGGAGTGTTGGGTCAGTGATGAGAGCTGTGAGTCAGTCATGGGGAGTGGTGGGTCAGTCATAGGGAGTGGTGTGTCAGTGATGAGAGCTGTGAGTCAGTCATGGGGAGTGGTGGGTCAGTGATGGGGAATGGTGGGCCAGTGATTTGAGTGATGAGGAGTGGTGAGTCAGTCATGGGGAGCGGTGGGTCAGTGATGGGGAGTGGTGGGTCGGTGATGGAGAGTGGTGAGTCAGTCATGGGCAGTGGTGGTTCAGTGATGAGGAGTGTTGGGTCAGTGACTGTACAATATAGATGTGGTGTTTCACTGTACAGTGTATACTTGGTGATAGACTGTACGAGGTAGATTGGTTGTACAGTGTATACTTGGTGATTGACTGTACAATATAGATGTGGTGTTTCACTGTACAGTATAGACGAGGTAGATTGACTGTACGAGGTAGATTGACTGTACAGTGTATACTTGGTGATTGACTGTACAATATAGATGTGGTGTTTCACTGTACAGTATAGATTTGGTGATAGACTGTACGAGGTAGATTGACTGTACAGTGTATACTTGGTGATTGACTGTACAATATAGATGTGGTGTTTCACTGTACAGTATAGATTTGGTGATAGACTGTACGAGGTAGATTGGTTGTACAGTGTATACTTGGTGATTGACTGTACAATATAGATGTGGTGTTTCACTGTACAGTATAGATTTGGTGATAGACTGTACGAGGTAGATTGACTGTACAGTGTATACTTGGTGTATGACTGTACAATATAGATGTGGTGTTTCACTGTACAGTATAGACTTGGTGATAGACTGTACGAGGTAGATTGGTTGTACAGTGTATACTTGGTGATTGACTGTACAATATAGATGTGTTGATTGACTGTACACTATAGATGTGGTGTTTCACTGTACAGTATAGATTTGGTGATAGACTGTACGAGGTAGATTGACTGTACAGTGTATACTTGGTGATTGACTGTACAATATAGATGTGGTGTTTCACTGTACAGTATAGACTTGGTGATAGACTGTACGAGGTAGATTGACTGTACAGTGTATACTTGGTGATTGACTGTACAATATAGATGTGGTGTTTCACTGTACAGTATAGATTTGGTGATAGACTGTACGAGGTAGATTGACTGTACAGTGTATACTTGGTGATTGACTGTACAATGTAGATGTGGTGTGTCACTGTACAGTATAGATTTGGTGATAGACTGTACGAGGTAGATTGACTGTACAGTGTATACTTGGTGATTGACTGTACAATATAGATGTGGTGTTTCACTGTACAGTATAGATTTGGTGATAGACTCTACGAGGTAGATTGGTTGTACAGTGTATATTTGGTGATTGACTGTACAATATAGATGTGGTGTTTCACTGTACAGTATAGATTTGGTGATAGACTGTACGAGGTAGATTGGTTGTACAGTGTATACTTGGTGATTGACTGTACAATATAGATGTGGTGTTTCACTGTACAGTATAGATTTGGTGATAGACTGTACGAGGTAGATTGACTGTACAGTGTATACTTGGTGTATGACTGTACAATATAGATGTGGTGTTTCACTGTACAGTATAGACTTGGTGATAGACTGTACGAGGTAGATTGGTTGTACAGTGTATACTTGGTGATTGACTGTACAATATAGATGTGTTGATTGACTGTACACTATAGATGTGGTGTTTCACTGTACAGTATAGATTTGGTGATAGACTGTACGAGGTAGATTGACTGTACAGTGTATACTTGGTGATTGACTGTACAAAAAAGATGTGGTGTTTCACTGTACAGTATAGATTTGGTGATAGACTGTGCGAGTAGACTGTTGTACAGTGTATACTTGGTGATTGACTGTACAATATAGATGTGGTGTTTCACTGTACAGTATAGATTTGGTGATAGACTCTACGAGGTAGATAGGTTGTACAGTGTATACTTGGTGATTGACTGTACACTATAGATGTGGTGTTTCACTGTACAGTATAGACTTGGTGATAGACTGTACGAGGTAGATTGACTGTACAGTGTATACTTGGTGATTGACTGTACACTATAGATGTGGTGTGTCACTGTACAGTATAGACTTGGTGATAGACTTTACGAGGTAGATTGACTGTACAGTGTACACTTGGTGATTGACTGTACAATATAGATGTGGTGTGTCACTGTACAGTATAGACTTGGTGATAGACTGTACGAGGTAGATTGACTGTACAGTGTATACTTGGTGATTGACTGTACAATATAGATGTGGTGTTTCACTGTACAGTATAGATTTGGTGATAGACTGTACGAGGTAGATTGACTGTACAGTGTATACTTGGTGATTGACTGTACAATATAGATGTGGTGTTTCACTGTACAGTATAGATTTGGTGAAAGACTGTACGAGGTACATTGACTGTACAGTGTATACTTGGTGATTGACTGTACAATATAGATGTGGTGTTTCACTGTACAGTATAGATTTGGTGATAGACTGTGCGAGGTAGATTGGTTGTACAGTGTATACTTGGTGATTGACTGTACAATATAGATGTGGTGTTTCACTGTACAGTATAGACTTGGTGATAGACTGTACGAGGTAGATTGACTGTACAGTGTACACTTGGTGATTGACTGTACAATATAGATGTGGTGTGTCACTGTACAGTATAGACTTGGTGATAGACTGTACGAGGTAGATTGACTGTACAGTGTATACTTGGTGATTGACTGTACAATATAGATGTGGTGTTTCACTGTACAGTATAGATTTGGTGATAGACTGTACGAGGTAGATTGACTGTACAGTGTATACTTGGTGATTGACTGTACAATATAGATGTGGTGTTTCACTGTACAGTATAGATTTGGTGAAAGACTGTACGAGGTAGATTGACTGTACAGTGTATACTTGGTGATTGACTGTACAATATAGATGTGGTGTTTCACTGTACAGTATAGATTTGGTGATAGACTGTGCGAGGTAGATTGGTTGTACAGTGTATACTTGGTGATTGACTGTACAATATAGATGTGGTGTTTCACTGTACAGTATAGACTTGGTGATAGACTGTACGAGGTAGATTGACTGTACAGTGTACACTTGGTGATTGACTGTACAATATAGATGTGGTGTTTCACTGTACAGTATAGATTTGGTGATAGACTGTACGAGGTAGATTGACTGTACAGTGTATACTTGATGATTGACTGTACAATATAGATGTGGTGTTTCACTGTACAGTATAGACTTGGTGATAGACTGTACGAGGTAGATTGACTGTACAGTGTATACTTGGTGATTGACTGTACAATATAGATGTGGTGTTTCACTGTACAATATAGATTTGGTGATAGACTGTACGAGGTAGATTGACTGTACAGTGAATACTTGGTGATTGACTGTACAATATAGATGTGGTGTTTCACTGT